TTCCCTGCTCCAGGGTCAGCTGTGAGTGCCCACTTGATGGCTTTTATAATCAGTGACCTGACTCGCTTTAAAGGGCCACTCTGTGATACCTTTTCCCTCCCAGATGATGCCTCCTTTGCTTTGTAGCTTTACTGATGATGATTTCTATCCAGCCATTCATGGCTGCGTCCTCTCCTACCTTTCTCTCAGCTGTATTAGGCACTTGTCACCATAGTATATATTAGTTGATTTAATTACCCTCCCCCACCATGTGAACCCTATTCATTTCAAAGCCAAAAATTACTGCAGTCTGAAGACCTTGGCTGCTCTCCTGTATAAATATAGAAGAGAGATTGGTCTTGTTTGTCTGTCTGCTGGCTGCAGGATCCTTGCAGCCAATAAACACATTGCAGTGCCTGGAAGCTCTCGTATGCTAAATGCTGCTAACTGTAAAAATCCTGTAACCAGGACAGCTTCTATTAGCAGAGCAAAGGCTGGAGGTACAAGGCTACAAATCTGCATCCAAAATCCAGCATCTTGATGCTTTACTGTCTCAACTGAGCTTTTCCTTTGTGTCCTGCTTTTATGCCCCAGCTGGTACTTGCTATACTTTAGCCGTAGCACTTCATAGAGCACTGCGCTTTGGGGCAAACAATAATGCCTGGGGTACTGTTAGGAATAATAGTAGCCACCAAAAGGATATCAGTAAAGTTCTTGTCCTTTTTGACACTTTCTGGGTTTAGATCACAGGTAGCTGGGCAAAATGTAGTACTCCCTTTTAAAAGCAGAGTAGGGAGCATCATTCTGTCCTCCTCTCTCATTGTGATATTTCTGCCTGTGTCTGTCAAAACATCCAGGACACAACCATCTGAGAGTTTCCTCTGGTCTCCCCTCCCTTTTCTCATGTGCCAAATCAGACTCTGATACACAATGTTCCTTACAACTTCAGGAAAATATAACCATTCACCAAAGCTTGTGCTTCCTTGCCTGTCACCATATAATTGAATGCATTGTTGCCCAAGGAATGTTACTCTGGGTTTTTTTCTCCAGGATGCCTCAGTTTCTTGCATGGTAAATGGAATCCAGTGTGCATCATCTGATTAAGAAACTCCCAAAGGAAATAGGATCTGATGACTTTAGAAGGAAGTAGGTTCAGATGGTGAATTCCAGGAGCTCCATGACTGTAACTTTCAGCTGCCTGCATCCCCATTGTGAATAATGAATCATACAACCCCATCCCCCACTGCTTGATTCTCCCCTTAGAGAGGTGGTGTTTCTTTTAAAGAGCAAGGAGAGAAGCAGCTAGAGAACAGTACAAGGGGATTTCTCTGCAGACCCTTGCCATCGCCCTCCGTGGCAGGATGCCGTCCCAGATTATGGAATGGCACCCAAGTTTCCCACCTTAGGTCTATTCATATTTCCAGTACTCAAGACCTAGCCAAAGGTACTTAAGGGAGCAGTTCCCTTACTAGGGCCTCTGTGTTACGGTTTTTTATAATCTAGTCGTCTTGTAGTCCTTTTGGCCCAACCCTTCCCTCTTCCAGTTCACTGTCCTCCTAGGGAGTCTTCTCTACAGCTCTCCTCCTGGACTCATGACTCCATCCTGAGGCAGAGATGTCCACAGCCCTCTCCCATGGAGCTGTACACAGAATCGAGGAGGCTGGCATAAGCTACCAGTAACCAGGCATGTTTCACAGTGCCTCTCTTCTTAGAACGCCTGATTTACACACATGTCCTGAGTATTGCACTGCTCATTTTCCTCCTCCTGGAGGGTCAAGTTAAACTGGTCATAGACAGGACTGGGAACCATTAGCCCTTGAAAGACCTGTCACCCTCAGCATGCCCCCAGCTGTGGTTTGGCCTGAATGGGTATTATCCCATGGTGCTCTCAGCAGAATAGGAATTTGGTCCAGTTCCCTGGTCAAAACATACCTTCACTCTGCTGTTATGTAAGGTGAGAGATGTTTGCTGAACTACTGCTCCTACTACAGAGCTGGCTGCACATCACCTGTGCAGGTGTGAGTTCTTTGAGCTTTTCTGGGATGACATTTGTTCAGTGCTATTGGCTTATGTAGTGCCTAGGTCTTGAGCTTTCTCTGTACCAGGGGACTGTCATCCCCTTTGTGCAAAAGAATGGTATCTAAAATATTCTCATTCTTCCCTTCATTTGCTTTATGACCTACAGCTAAGCAAGTAATTAGTAGTGGATAATTAATTTAGTGCTTTTAGTATCTCACTCTGTCATGGTTTTCTTACAAGTACCTCATGATTTGTCTTTTTTAAGGTTCATTCATTATTCAAAATTATTTGCCAAACAGTTCTTCTGAATAATTCTTGGTCAGTGGATGGGTTTGAGATGCACTGGTTACTTTGGATTGGATGTAAAAATATATACACAGGATGGGTTTGTTCCCTGGCTAGATGAACACACATCTTAGAACGCAATCCCTAGTGAGATTTCTTACGTTTACTATTACAAAAGTTACTTTCTACATCTAGTATCAAATTTCTGCTTCCACAAACATTTCTGCTGCTAAACTCATTCACAAGATGATTAGAGGAATGTACCCAAAGGTGAATGAACAGAGCCGAAGCAAATTCATTGGGTAGTTTACTAGATATTGACATAAAAGTTTTGATAGTGCTCCTAGACGGAGGTTAGAAAATATTATTTGGGCGTGCTGAGTGCATGCATCAGTGCAAGAATTACAACTCCTAGTGCGCTCTGCACAGTGTGATGCATGCGCAGTCAGCCTCTTCTTCCTCAGCCATGCGGAGCTGAGTACACGTGGGGCACTGGTCTGGCTGCACACCAAGTGGTGCTGTGGTGCTGCTGCTGTTGTCGGCTGCTGTAAGATTAATTTCCTGGGTCTAAGCCCTGCAAAGAGCCGGCCTTCCGCCAACTATGATAGTACTTCTTCACTTAGCATCTTCAAAGAGAAGTTTAACACAACTTGCTTGTAACTGCATGTAATCATCCTGTCTGTGAAAGCTGCCTACTCAGGGTTTATCAATCATCTGTTGTTTTCTCTAACCTTACCTGGAGAGGTTTGTGGATCAACTATGCAAGTGTTAATGCCGATGTATATCTGTTAGCAAAATGTGTTCCTAATCTTCCACTGGAATCCCACATCAGAACCCGCTGAAATTTGGCAAGGACATTAGTTATTTTCCAGTAAGAAACCACCTTACTGGAGTTGCATATGTTTTCAATTTTTAAGATATTTAATAATGTTTTCACCTCTAATTAGGAGAAATATCTGGGTTTGGCTGTTTCTCTCTCCTGGGAGCTGGGAGTTTGGTTGTGCCAACTGACAGGTCATTACAACATTCCTCTCTCCATACTAAATTTTTGCTTTTCAAGTTTTGAATGAACGTGGAATTTGGATACAGATCCCTAAGCACCAACTGAAATCCTGGAAACACGTAACCAAAGTAAACCCCATAATCGACATAAAAAGCATACTCAATTTTAGACCAAAAATAGCAGAGAAAGTTTGAGTAAGATGGACAGATTCATCCTTCTCTTCTGTACTAGGTAATATTAGTGCCATACACAAGTGATTATTTACAAATAGTTTAATTTTTAAAAAAACTATATAGATAATTAGATATATATTACCCACGCACTTAAGTCACCAGAGCAAAATGTATGTTTTTCCCATAGTACTGTGGTTCAAACTAGGATTCATTTTTTAAAATTTGCTATTCAGTAACTAAACGCCAAACCTTTTTGGTGGGGGAGGTAAGAGAAGTGAACAAAAAAAAAATCATATTACAGTTGATGCATTTTGAATCAGCTGAGATATTAAACCACGGAAATTGGGGTTTACAATGGAAAATCCATTTACTCTTAATAACAGCAGCCCCACTGGCGCCAGTAAAATAAAACTCCAAAAGAAACAGAAAGAGACTGGGAGTCAGACTCTAGTATACTGTAAGATGGGTTCAAGGAGTCCCAGTCATGGGCTTGCATTGTCTAGTTTGGTTTTACAAGAATAACCTCAGCAGTGCATTCTTTCCACAGGCTATTTTTGGCTCTCTAACATGTGGACTGAGATGACATGGGCCACATCCTTAACTGGTATAAATGAAGGAAGCTGCATTGATTGCCTTGGAGCTATGCTTATTTATACCAGCTGAGGATCTGGCCATGTAGATGGAACCTTTCTCTTACTGATTTCTGGAACAGAGGTTTGGAAAGCTCTTTATAAATAGGAAAACATTTTAATAAGTATCTATCTACACACATGCACCAACAAGATGACATATAAATGTTTCCTTGTTTCTTTTTCCCAAGGCCCAGAATGGCGAATATGCAGTCTTGGACCATCAGCAGATTTAAGAGCTATTCGAGCTAAGAACAGATGTCGTTCATACCAGTAATGAATCTAGACTTGCCAACTTTTTTTGTGAATCTTCTAGGGCTCTGTTTCTAGTCTGGTTAGTTTGCGGTACATCAGATATTAAACTTCGGATATTAGTTTGTACTGAAGGCGTTTTAGATCATGTGTGCCATTATCTTCAAGGGGAGAAATATTGAGCTTCGTGAGGTATGGCTGCGAAGTGAGACTGCTAGGCAAGAACCCAAGGTTCTGTCTCCAACCCGTCACAGACGCACTACATGATTCTTGCTCGGTCATCTACGCTGCAACCTGCAATAGTGGCCTCTGACTTTGGGTGCCTGGACTGAGGCATTTGGGCCTGCTTTTCAGGGGTGCTGACCACTTGCCTCTCTCTGTTTCAAAAGTGTGTGTAAGTGCTCAGCACTTGTGAAAATCAAATCTAAGGCACCTAGGAATCGGAAGCTACTTTTGAACACTATGGCCTTTAACTTCTTTATGTCTCGTATCCCCTTTCTGTAATATGGGGCACCAATTTATTCATGCTTTCAAAGTGCTCTGGGACTCTGGATGGAAGGAAGGCACCACCATAGGTCAGTGCATTGTGGTCACTCAGCACTTATGGAAAATATAAAGGCTTTGCTCTAAGGAGGTGCTGGCAGCCACAAGCTTGGGATGGCTCTTTTTCAGTAGCCAGTATCTATGGCATCTGGTAAAAAAAAAAATCTATATCTATATCGATATATATCTATAGATAGATATACTTTTTTGTTCATATCTGATATGATTTGCTTGTGATGCAGAACATTGCGTCTTGGACTGAATTTCTCAGGCTTTAGTGGCCGCAGAGACGAGAGATGGGCCCTCTTGGTAGAAGCAGCATCCTTGTGCCATTAGTCATGCAGCATGTGTATCACAAAACCCCAAGCTCTGTGAAGCTTGTCCACCTTGTGGTTATGCAAAAATATTTCAACCCAGACCCTCTGTGAATCTTTTGAATGGCACTGGAGCCATTTGTGGCTTCCTTTCAAAGCTAACTGAACTTCACCATTTCACATAGTTTCCATATGACACGAGGAGAAGCTTAGCAGAAGCAGTTGAGCTTTGCTTGAGTCTGGGGTTTGAATCCTGAATTTAAAGGGAAACTTGGGAGGCAAAAAGGTGGGCCAGTTCATCCCTGGTGTAATGAAATGGGTGTAATTTCAAGTGGCTTCACTGCAGGAACTGATTTGGGGCAATTTAGGGAAGGGAGTTTGACCTCCCCTCCCATGTTGTGAGAGAGAGTTCCCATGAACCCAAACCACACAGCTTCACATGATTCTGTCCATACCTGATACATGCATGTGGCTTGTTGTTCTTGTTTCTTCAGTCACTAGTTCTGAACTGAACAGCTCCCTGAAGTGGGAACCCCAGTAGAGGGCACTCCTCCCTATAAGCTAGTTCACAAGTGGTACATTTCAGTTCTAGGCTTTGATACAAAAGTTCATGAAAATGGAGTTTTGTGTGTGTTGAGATAATCAGATAAAGAACTGTTGAGTTTTCTTCCTGTGCATGTTCTGCCGCAAAGAAAATATAACTACAGAGCACTAAAAAACAGCAAATGATGGTGCGGCCTGGGGAAACATGCCACTGTTTTGAAGTATGACAATGTGCAGCATGCCCGTGTTTCCCTTTCTTGCAGGAGGACCCATTGCTGATGAGCCAGAACAGACAGGAGCACCCATTTCCCAAACACTTTGTGCCCTATCCACTTGCTGTGTGGTTCCAGCACCCAGATGGAAATGCAGATATTCGACATGGACTTTCAAGGTTTGTTTTCTTGGCTGTATGTCAAGGATATCTCTGGGAACTTGTATGAAATGATGCATTTTCTGAGCCTTGTCACTGACAAAGTTACCAAGTATTTGACCTCAGCAGCTGTGTTTCTTTCAGAATCTAGACATTGAGACAGCAGGCGCATGGGCAAGGTATAGGTCTATTCTAGACCTACCTTCTCTCACTTCTGCTTTACACCTTCATTCAGGCTACTTCTGTGCTTGGAAAAAAAAAATCCTTTTGCCTGAACCTCCACTTTCTCCTTCCACTTCCTCCTGAAAGCCCTCTGACTCATACTCATGATGTTGATTTCCTCACCAATGG